CTGAATAGGTAAAAGGGTTGTCTAATTCATAACAATAGAATCAAGTATCTGCATAAAAGGACCCAGAATGTCGTATGAGGTAATGAAGCCACAAGCCAGTGCGAATCAGTTTTTTTTTTCTTTTTTCACAAGAAAGTTTGAAGTTTGAAGTCATGGTCAGGTTAAGGAGCACTCCACAAATATTTGAAGTCCATGGTCGTCTGGTACCTCATCCGAATGAACCACCACCGAGCGCCGGAGCTAGTGCTGATACTAGCAACCGTTGGCATTTGTGGGCTGGAATCGATCAGCCCCGGCCTCTCTCATGTTGCAAACGCACGTTTCAAGTTCATAGGTATGTTGTAAGTGTTTCATACGGATGTCGCAAAAGTAGATCGGGATGCTGCATATGTTGCAATGGTTGTAGATGTATGTTGCATGCTCCTGTTCTTAATGTTTTATCTGTTTTTTTTCGACGTATGTTGCGAGTGTGTTTATCTGGATGTTGCATATATTTTCACACATATGATGCAAGTGTTTTATTTGGATGTTGCGTATGTTTGCAATGATTTCAAGTGTTTTTGAGTGTTTCAGACGCATGTTTCAAATGTTTCATTTATTTTTAGACGTATGTTGCAATTGTTGCATCTGGATGTTTCAAAACTTGATCAGGTGTTGCATCTCCCTCCTCGCCTTCTGCTGTCTCGTCTCAGTGTCAGACGCGAAAAGCGAGCGCAAGCGGAGGCGGTCCCCACTAGCGTGGGCACGCCCCACATGCTTGCGGGCGAGCGCAGCAGGTGAGATATGGGCGGGCAGGCGCGTGACGGGGCAATGGCGTGGGCGTCCGGAGGGGGGGGGGGCTAGCGTCCGGACATCCATAGCCCAAGCTAGAAAAATTGAAAGAATGGTGGGCTTGTGGCCCGTTTAACCCTGGACGATTTGGCTCCCGTCGCATATGTGACAGTACACCTTTGTGTTATTATGTCGTCTTAGTTTTTTTCTAAATCAAAGTTGTCTTTTTTTCTCTCGAATGTGTCATCTGCACGATATTCATTAAGCAGAGGAAGAGTTACAAATTAAAGCTCGGGACGATAATTTGTGGTTACCGAACAAAAAAACCGAAAGAGCTCACAGTTGTGATTAAAAAAAGAAAACTACGAAGCGATCGTGAATATGATCAAGCATAGGGACCATGCTTTATGAGGTGACCGGATGCGACCCTATGAGTGATCGGACGTGTTCGATCAGCGGCAACAGTAGGCATCAGCAGCAGCGACCGGACGCTGAGCGAGGTAGTGACCGGACGCACGGACTTCACTGTTCATCGTCGCAGCAATAATTTAGCGTGACCGGACGCAGCGGCTGTGGACGACCGGACGCGCTAGGCAGTGGCGTCCGATCGAGTCCAGAAAGGTTCCAGAGCGGCGCCAGCGCGACCGGACATGTCCGATCGATGATGACCGGACTCGGCCTAGAGTCCGATCAACGCACGCGCTCCAACGGTCGAGACGACCGGACGCGTCCGATCAAGACGACCTGCGTGTCCGGTCAATGGCAGAAAGCTGGGTTTCATCCCCAATGGCTATTTTCTCCATGGGACTTATAAAATAGACCCCCCAACCGGCCATTTGAGTAGTGAAGAGCTAGAAAAACATACCAAGGGTACTGATACACTATTTTAGTGATCTCCACTTGCATAGTGCTTAGTGATTCATTAAGTGATTAGCGTAGGTGCTTTGTGAATTGTTTAGGTTGATTAGACCACCGCTTATGCGCTTGCTCTAGGTTTAGGCCTAGTGTTTAGTGAGGTTTGCACACATCTTATCACTCGATGCTTGCACGCACCATTGTTGTACATTGGAGGGGCTTGTAGTCTTGCGAGATCATACCAACTGCATTTGTGGTGTGGGCGCCACCGTGTATCGAAGGGAACAAGACCCACGGCGGTTCGGCCGGAAGCTTCGTAGTGAAGACGGCGGGGGGCATCCGGGAGAGGCTTGCCAGAAGGCACGTCGGTGACCCACTTACGTGTGGGGAAGGCCCGAGGCTATCCACGGAGTTACCCGACCGGGAACTTGGCCCTTGCGAGGGGCTCCAACGAGGACTAGGGGGGAGCCTGTGCGCTTCTCGATACCTCGGTAAAAATACCGGAGTCGTCGACGGGAGTTTGCATATCTCTACCTTACTCTTTAGCTTCCGCATTTACATTGCAATCTTGGTGTGTGCTTTACATTCCTAGCTTAGTGATAGGCTAGTTGATAGGTTTGGAAACTAAGTTGCATAACTCCTTTTGCGGTAGAGATAGCAGCATACTAGCAAAACTGTAGTTGCACATTTAGATAGTTTATCTTTTGCATAAGTTTTGCTAAGGGTAGAAAAAGATGTCATAGTTTAAATTAGAGTTTTAAGTTGCCTAATTCACCCCTCTCTTAGTCATCACGGTCCCTTTCAGCACCGACATCACCGTTGAAGGTGTCCTAGACCTCCTCAGCCTCGGCTTGCGGATCAACGGGGTCTCGAGCGGGATGCATACCCGCGCCTCCAATTGTGTCAACAGGGATGCATACGCATCAGCCTGTGGAGGTTGAGCGTTGTGGCCCTCGTTGTCAGTCGCTGGCCAGCGGCTGGGCCTCAACAACTCAAGCTCCATAGCCTCCGAAGTCGGCACAGGCGTCCACGGCCACTTCCTACCCTGGGGGAGTGACGTGGGGCCAAGTCAGGCGATGATGGCGAGCGGTGAGGCTGAGGTGACGTCGGTGGTGAATCCACAGCCCACTGAGTGGGTTGCGGAGGCAGCGTCCGCAACTCCGAGTCGGCAAGCTGGGACAGCGTCTGCTGCCCACAGGTGCAGACACAGGTGACCACCGCCTTGGCCGCAACCTCAAGCTGGGTGGCCACCGGAATTGAATCCAGGTGCTCAAGTGGAGGACACGTGACGATTCGGCTAGCGACGAGAGAAGCTGCAAACTCCTCCAACATCGGGTCGTCCGTGAAGTCACGAAAAGGGGGTAAGTCGTGAGGCCATATGGCCAGCGTCAACAGGTCGACCCCAAGAAGGGGCATCCCGTTGGCCGGCTCACCACGATCAGCTATAGCAATGTTGGAGTGGTCCGGCTCGGGGAAACAGGAAGGAGCAACGATCGAGGTTTCTCCCGGCACTGATGGAGCAGCCCCTGCCGACTACCCAAGACACCTTCGTCGTCGACATCGCTAGCCGCTGTTGGCAGGAACGGCGCTGTCCTGCACGGTCCCACCAGCGCCACGCGAACCACCATCGTCCGCTGGCCGAGCATCAACGGGGTTGCCGGTGTCGCGAACCGGGCGTGACTATCGACTCACAGCCCCGGCAATGCCCGAACTCCCATAGCCCGCGTGCCATGGCGCTTGCAGTAGCGCGCAATATGTCGAAGACCCTTGCAGCGCAGATAACGTTGGGGCAGCACGCAGGTTGCCACTCGATGTGTAGAGGAGAGGCAATTGAAGCACTTGCCGTGTAGACCTGTCGGAATGTGCCTCAGAGGTCGTCGGCTCACGGGCGTGTTGGGTTCGGTCCCGCCACCGCCAGCGGTTGCCGGCAGGACCTTGCGCCAGCCATCCACGTCCGGGGCGGAGATGCGGCGGCGGTTGCCGGGCGGAACCCGTGGGCCTAGCCTCTGATGGACTGGCAAGCGAGTGCCATCAGTTGCGACCCAGGCTCCGCCACGTGCGTCCTTGAGCTGTGGACGTGCTCGATGACGCATAGGTGGCCTGCGCCACCTCTGCCCTAGGCGCTGGTGCACCGGCACCCGCTTGCCGGTAACCTGGTTCTCCACGTGCTTTGCGGCAGGTTCCCGCTGGCTGCGGCGACACCGCCGCCGACGTCTTGGCGCCTTGCCTGCGCCTGCGGCTTGCGTCATCCCGGCAGACGCGTCGTGTGCTTATGCTGTGCCCGGAGGACACACCTCGATAGGGGAGGCCGAGAGGGCCTGCCGAGCAGCCGCCAGGTACGTGCCGGCGGAGGGGGAGCGCTCGTCGTCGGAGCCGTCAGAGAGGGAGAACGAAACATCTTCCCAATGCATGCTCTTCGACCTGCCGGCGGAGCAGGGGAAAAATGGAGCGACGTCAGGGGAGAGTGAAGAGGAGGACAACTCAGCGCTAGTGGGGGAGGTGGCTGGCGGTGCCGGAGCGGCATCCGGCAGGCTTGTCTCATTAAAGTATTCATGAAATATGTTTTGATAGGGCTCTTCATTGAACTGATAGATATTAATATATTTTTTCTAGAAACTTAGTTAAAGTAAGAATAATTTATTCTTTATTAGGATAAAACTAATTTGAGTATTCTCCCTCGTTGCCCAGCTCCTACCGCCATTGCAGTAGTGCGTGCACATGAGTAACGTTTTTTTTTTAGAGAACATGCTATGCACATGTTTCATTAAGAGAAGGAAAAACAGCCCACAAAAAATATAGTACAAACAAATAGGAAAAAGACATGCACGCGAAGTGCCTAGAAATACAGAAAACAAAGAGAGAGGAGACAAGAAGGAAAGAAAAAAAAATCTGGGCCGCCACACGAAATACGGCTCAAACCACACTCAAAGCTACCTTCCTAATGCCGCAATATATCACAGGCAAAAGGATTAACTTGGCTTGCCACCAACCCCTAAGCCCACAGAAGTATGATTAACGATGTTTTTTTGCATCCTTGGAGAGATACCACTAGTAATAGCTTATTGTCATAAATTTTGTACCTCCTAAGGACTGTTAACAAAAACTCAAATAAATGAAGCCTTATGAATTAAAGCATCGTAGCTGAACAGATAAAAGTATTTAAATAGGGAAGAGGTTAATTCATTAAATTTCTACCAAGTATGTACATAAATAAAAGGAACTAGAACGTCGTATGAAACTGGTACGAATCAGCACTTATTTTCTTTTCACAACAAAGTTTGAATTCTTCCCAAACTTATAGGAGCACTGCTCTACAAATATTTGAAGTTCATGGTCGCCTAGTTCCTTAACCGAATGAACCACCAGGACCTGCTTCATGCCGCTGCATTCAGATGTTTCTTGAACCATACTCCAATGTTGAGGAAGCTTTCGAAATCAGACCGCGGTCTGCAGAGAACAATGACCAAATCCGAGCCCAATTCAAAAAGGGGAAAGGGATGCCCTCGATACATGCGACCGAAGAACAGAATTAGCTTACAGATTGATTTCATGTATGTCCTCTGGGAACATCATGATTTTGACCTCGCCTCCTCTTTCTCTCAGGCCCCTCGCATACTGAAATTATGAGAAATCAAATATGTAAACAAGAGGCATCTGAGAAGATAGGGCAGGAATGCAGAGACAAATTAGTATGGGAAGTTCGGTCACATGAAATTCTATCCATCATCATAGTATAAATAAGACTAGCTAAAATATTTTTACAGCAATGCGTGGAACTTGAGACTCATTCGTAGTTGTAAACTATAGATAAATGTCAATAAATATGTTACCACATCCTTGACGAGTTAGACTAGATCCGCGAAGCAGATCTCAAGAGATATTCATGTACCTGTAGGCCATTAGAAACAGGTACTCGACGATCAGCTCCACCAAGAAGCATAAGAAGGGGCGCTTTCACCTGCACAATCAGCAAAGTTCCATTAACCATACCACCAAAATGATAATTGCCCTGATAGTTGAGACAGGAAAACATACTTTAGAGATATGGGCAATTGGCGATTTCTGATAGAAGAGATGAAGATGGTTGGATGAAGGGGCTTCAGAGGCATATTGCTTTGCTTCAGTTCCGCAGGCCACTATGTAACACCAGTCTGGGATGTCAGTGGTGCCAATCATCAGTGACAGGTTGCAGACAGGGTTCCGAGCAGCTGCCACGGCAAATCTGTCTGGAGCCTGCAGCCAAACTGCATATTACACTAGGAACAATAAACAGGAGTATCAGCTACCCCGACTCTGAAACCCATTAGCATGCTAACCTGACCAATCAAATGAGTTGTCAGGAATCCACCATGCGAAATCCCAACAACAGCTACTTTAGATGCATCTACCAGCTCTTCCTTAATGGCGAAATCTAGTGCTGTAAGGCAGTCTTGAACATCCTGTTCAACAGAGTTGGGAATAGATTGGTTCAGGAGGAACAAAAATGCTGAATTCAACTAGAGTCTGTACCTGGGATCCAACTTTTCCAGGAAGTGATTGCAAAGCTTCCTCTCCGTAACCTGGTGTACCTCTTTTTATAAGATAATTGTCAGATTGGAAATATCGCCATACATAGCTAGTAAAGTGCATTGGAATCCCAAGAGAGTACCGGTAGTTTATAATAAGCAGGTTAAATCCAAGCGAAGCAAGAAATGCTAAAGATTTTGAATAGCTTGATACAGACACTGAGTGTGGGCCACCATGAAGGATTACAACAGTTGGACTGTGCGAACTATCCTTGCAGGACACAAAAATGGCCTCAAATGGAAGTTTTCCACCTACAGAACAGGAAAACAAAATACTACCTGGATAAAATATCACACCCTAACTTATGATCTCTCTAGTGTTCAGGGTTATACCATCAGAGAGGTCATCAGAAGGGCTAGGGACAGGAATTTTAAGTATATTGACACTGTGATGCAGTAACAAGGACTTAACCTGCAATAGAAGGCAATGCCGCAGATGAGAATACATGAAGGTAACTGCGCTGTTGAAAGATGTCAAGACAAACATTTATGCAACTCAAACTTCACAGCAACTTAAAAGCTAACCTTACTGTTGGCTGCCATCAATGGACTAGTAACTTCATCCCAAGTCCATCTGTGTGCTTGAACTTCTGGTGTCACGGAGCGTCCATACCTGATGTAAGGAGGGTCGATGGGACTACTTGACACTATACACCATAATGAAAGAGAAAAATACAAATTTGATTTTAGAAATTTTGAAGCATGAGTTTAGTACCAGTTTACAACTATAATTTTTGAAAGACCAGTTTACAACTATAATTACCAGCAAGAACATTGTTGCCATCTAATGCAAGAGCACTCCATGAGTAATACGAGTCTTCCGGAGTTATTCTTGTTACTTTGCCACTGTAGAATGAATCAATATAGGATATCAAAGTGGTTCTTTGAGCTCTGGAACAGGATTACACCAACAACCTATGATTTACCTTAAAACATCTATTGATAATATCACTTCAGTACTTCTCCAAGCAGATGTTAATATCATTGTGCATCCATCAGAGAGCCAAGGATCGGATAGCATGGATGAACAATAGAGGCCTGGAAAACAGCCATCTTCAGGGCACATTACAATAGGCACCTGGGACAGTTCAACAGCTACTCAGTGAACAGACTGCAGAACATAATGAATAATTTAGTCAAGAAAATTTTCCTCAAAAAAAAAAATAATCAAGAAAAAAAAAAGATGGGCATACCACTTCATTAACATCGAGTTGTTTATCCATTTTCCATTCTGAAGGCCAATTGATTATATGCAGGGAATCCGTTGCATTATGTGCACCACTGTCTACAGCTTGTTTTGAAGATAGAAACACCAGAAGTTTCCCATCCCGGCTGTTAATTTGTATTATTCAGATAAAGGCCATCAGGGGTCCAACATCAAATCTACCGGAATACTAGTACAAACATACCTGAACCGTGGAAACAAAGCACTGCTAAAGCCTGTGGTTAAGTTGCGCACTACTACATCAGAGTCTGATTTACCATCACTGGTAAAGGGAAATAACATATTACACAAAATGGTACCTGACGATGCTACTAAGTACTGGCAAATGCACAGTCAAAGGCCCAAAGCTGTTCTTTCTATTTCAACATAACGATAACTGATAGGCTGACTCTGAAACTCCAGAGTACAAACTATAAAGTTATGAATCATGATTTAAGAGGGATGTTCACCTAGCTGGTGTATTGTCAGGCTCTGATCCTTCAAAAGGGCAAGGAATTGCATAAAGAGCACATGGCCTGTTAGAACAGTACTTGATACCGAGTTTTCTAGCAGTGTTCTGGAACCCATTGTGCTCTAACCATCCAACGAAAACCAGATACTTTTGACTGCCACTTGATGATGCTGGAGCCCAGACAACTTGGCCAACACTCAATGATGTTGAAATGCCTTTAGCCGCTCGCACTTCTCCTCTGCATACACCAAAGACAGCAGTGGGTCTTAGGCTTGAAGCCATATTTCCAGATCTAGGTGTTAGATTACTGTGCTACTAATCCCTTTGGTCTTTGTGCTAGTCTTTTACTGCTATTTAAGTCAGCTGTACGCCACCCTATGTGGCTATGTGAACAGGCCCCTTGGGCCTCTATATATTGTAATCCCCTTTGTAAACATAATTAAGGATGCTAAGCTCTATTGGCTTCCTTATCTATCATGGTAAAGACTGAAAGCTGGTCTGTGGTTGGGTTGGAGCTTCAGCAATATATGCTATCAAGGTCTCTTCTTGATTCAAGAAATACCATGAAACCTGTAGCAACGCGAATAGTGCGTGCCCCCTGTCGACGACGGACTGTCGTGTAGCCCTCGTCGGCCATGCTGCGCGCCGCCCCTCTCTCTCTCCATGGCTGCTCCTCCATCCGGCGGTTCGAGCTCCAGCGCCCCGGCCGCCCCGCCGCTGCAGCAAAAAGCCCATGAAGCCCCTCCGCGCCGTCAAGAAAAGCTGGAAGACGAGGCCGCCTCCTGCGGGACTCTAACGCCAGCGGTCCAGCGGCTCAGGAGGAGGCGGCCTCCTCAAGTCCGCCGCCGATGCTCGAGAACGCGTCAGCCGCGCCGCCGCCGCCCTCGATGCGGGCGCGAAAGCAGGCCCGGCGCTGGGAGCGGCGAGCCTCCGCCCGCATGAAACGGCTCATGTTGAATCGCTCATGACGGCGCTTCCGATAGCGGCGACTGCGTTCTGTCACCTCGAAGCCGTGGCCATTGCTCGCCTCCATAGCTTGCTGCTTCATGCGAGAACATCAAGAATTTGATTCCCCATCGTCCTCGACCTGCGGTCCTCCAACTACTCCAAGTGGCGTGGCTACATCGCCGCTTTCGCCCTCGGTTAAACCATACGAAGGACCATGTCCTCGGCGATGTCGTTCATGCCCACGATCTTTGCGTGGTCTCGCGCATGGGCTGCGTCGTCGTCTCGTGGATCTTCAACACCATCTCCCCGACCTCCTCGACGGCGTGCCCACGAAGCGCGACGGTATCCACCTTTCGGGCGGCGGCGTGGCTCGGCCTCGAGCAGCGAGTTCTTCAACAACCCGCGAGTCACGCGCCATGCCGCTTTCGGCGCCGAGTTTCGCACCCCTGCCGAGGCGCCCTCTCCATCGGCGGCGAATCGCCGCAAGATGAAGAATATGGCGGATGCCCTTGCCGACCTTAAGCGAGCCCATTACGGACCGTCTGGTTGGTGCTAAGCGTTTGCGCGGACTCAATGAACGCTTCAGTTCATGTCGCGCTCGTCACTCGGCGAAGCCTTTTCCCTCTTTCGCGATGTCCGTTTGATCTCCGCTGGCCGAGCTCAACATGGCGCCACTTTCTGCCAGACCGCCTTGACGGCCCTCGTCGCCTCATCCTCCGACAAAAGCGCGGCTCGCTCCTCCGCCCTCTGCTCCTCCGGCGCTCTCATCAGATTACGGGGGGCAAATGACAGAAACAGCAACAGCAGCGAGCCCGCGATCGGCCATGCATGAGCGGGTAGTAAAGCGGCTGCTGTGGTGGCTCTTCAAGCAACCAGCACAGTAGTCTCTCAAGGGGCAAGCGGTGGCCTCTGTCCTCAACCCACGGGCGGGGTCCATTCATATGTGGCCGGGTCCACTCTGGCGATCCTCGTGCTCCACCGCCTCGCGTCGTCCAGTCCCCATCACCACAGCAAGCTCTGGTTGCTGGTATGCCCCCGGGATACTTCACTCCATCGCCATCCCCCGGGGCATACTACCGAGCCCCGTGAAGCTCCCACCTCCACTTGGTCGCCATGGACTGCTGAGAATCTCGCCAACGCCTTCAGCACCGTCACCCTGTCACCACCACCAAGCTCCTCGGAATGGGTGATTGACTCTAGTGCTTCCTCCCATATTGCCTCCAACCTGGGTATGATCACACCGCCGCCATCTTCCTCTTTTCCATCTTCTATTGTTGTTGTAGCGGTGCCATTCTTCCGATGGTTGGCCTTTGGTTTTCCACTCTTCCGCCCGTTTGCCTCAACAATGTCCTTCTAGCTCGATATTATTAAAAATCTTATTTACGTTGCAAATTCACCACTTGACAATTCCGTTTGGTTGAATTTGACCCTCTTAGTGTTTCGTGAAGGATCTCCATTCAAAAACACCCTCCTTGGTGTAATGACTGGGACCCCTCACACCTTGCGACTTCTGCATCTCCATCCGATCCTGCGCCTTGGTGGCAACTCCTCCCGACTACACAGCATCGTCGTCTCGGTCATCCCGGCGCAGCTACCCTTCAGAGTCTTGCTCAGTCTTCTTCCATAGTCTGCAGCAAGCCTGCTGATGATTCCCTCTGTCATGCGTGTCAGCTTGGACGCCATGTTCGTTTACCATTTCATAGTTCTTCCTCTAGAAGCGACTAAGAATTTTGATTTGGTGCATTGTGATCTGTGGACATCACCTATTACCCGGTGTATCCGGTTTCAAATATTACTTAGTTATCCTCGATGACTGCTCCCATTTTCTTTGGACCTTTCCACTGCGCCTCAAGTCCGATACTTTTTCTGTGCTCTCTAATTTTTTCGCCTATGTGCATACTCAGTTTGGTTGCACCATCAAATCCGTGCAATGTGACAATGGGCGTGAGTTTGACAACTCTCCAACGCCTGCGTGCCTTCTTTCTCGCTAAAGGTGTTGTGCTTCGCATGTCACCCCCTACACCTCACATGCAGAATGGCAAAGCAAAGCGCATGATTCGCACCACCAACAATGTCACCCGTGACTCTACTATTTCAAGCCTTCATGCCCCCTTCTTATTGGGGTGATGCCCTTGCTCTGACCACCCACCTCTGAATCGCCTTCCCACTAAGACTCTAGACATGAGCACACCCTACTTTGCTCTCCCACGGCACCAGCCCGCCTATCATGATCTTCAGTACTTTCGGTTGCACTTGCTACCCCAACCTCACCGCAACCACCCCTCATAAACTTGCCCTCGCTCTTCCTGCAGTGCGCCTTCATTGGCTACTCTCCACGATCAAAGGATATCGGTGCCTCGATCTCAACACTACTTAGTGTCATCATCTCTCGTCATGTCATCTTTGATGAGACGACCTTTCCTTCTCTCGACACTTGGGACCTCCACTCCTCACGAGCTTGACTTTCTAACTAACAATGAGTGCTAGCTCCTTCTTCGTCTCTGAGGTACAACTTAGGGGTGCCCCTGCTCGGTTCCCTCTGCAGTTGCACCAGAGTATCGAGGATGCTCTGTTCCGCTCTGGCCCCCGTTACAAAGAGCCCGGCCACCCGGCGCCCTCCCCCAGGCTTCCACACATTTTGCTTCGCCTTCGCCAGTGCTGCCTCGAGGCTGCAGCCCCGGTACTGCTTTGCAGCCCGGCTTTCTTGCTCGGCGTGCACCCAGCCCGGTCTGCTGCAGCCCCGGCGCCTGCTTTGCTCGGCTTTTCTTTGCTCCTCGTCTTGCCCATGGTGAAGCTCTCACTGAGACCGCCCGGTCACCCACGTGTACTCAGCGCCATCCATCCTCTGCAGATCCTATGGCAATTTTTTGAAGCACTTTGTCACCCAAGTGTACACTCGGCACCCTCCACCATCACCATCATCACATTTGCTGCCGCTCCTCCTCGCCGCTCCGACATCATACCTTCCCCCACGGTATGTTAAAGATGGTCCTCGGTTGGTCTTTGTACCCGTCACACCGGTTGACAACAACCATGGTATGATGACTCGTGGGAAGGCTGGATACATTCAGCCTTCGTATTCTTCATCTTTGAGGGTCATCTCCCATTCCCGGTCATGCCGCGATGCCCTCGCTGATCCTCCTTTGGCGTCGCGCCATGGAAGAAGAATATGACGCCTTCATGGACAATAACACTTGGGAGCTTGTCCTCGGCCGCCAATGCCAGCGTGGTCACCGGAAAATGGGTTTTCAAACATAAATTCCACGCTGATGGTTCGCCGGAGAGATACAAAGCTCGTTGGGTTCTTCGTGGCTTCACTCAACGCCCGGTATTGACTACGATGAAACCTTGATCCCCTGTTGTCAAACCGCCTTTGTCCGCTTCTGTCCTCACTATAGCTCACTCCGGGATTGGCGATTCATCAACAGCGTCAAGAATGCCTTCCTTCAAGGGACCCTCTCGGAGAGGCGTATATTGCTTCCGATAGCCGGATTCACCAACTCTGCTCTCCCTCGGCATGTTTGCAGACTCAACAAATCCGTTTATGGCACAAGCAAGCTCCCGTGCATGGTATGGCCGCTTTGCATCATTCCTGCTCTCCACAGGGTTCATGGCTTCGCTCGAGACACCTCTCTCTTTGTTTACCGCCATGGTTCGAGGAGATGTCTATCTGGCCGCTTTACGTGGACAATATTATTCTCACTTGCCTCCCCCAGCAGCTTCTCCGCCGAGTTATTGATGCTCACGATGAAGGAGTTCGCCATGAAGGACCTTGGCCCTCTTCATCATTTTCTTGGCATGGCGATTCAAATGACGAGGTGACTCTTTATTCCTCTCTCAACGTCGGTATGCTTTGGACATTTTGACTCGTCATGGCATGGCTGATTGCAAACCATGCTCCCTCTCCGTTGACACTTTGTGCCAAAGTATCTCGCCTTCTTTGGTCCCTCTTGTTCCTGATCCCATCCTGACTTATACTCGCAGCCTGCTGGTGCTCTTGATGCTTGACATTCACCGGGCCCGACATTGCATATGCTTTGTCCAACAAATTTGCCTTCACATGCACGATCCTCGGGAGAGTCATCTTATTGTCGCCAAAGCGGATCTGCGGTATCTCCGGGGGACTCTTGATCATGGCCTCGCCATTCCTCGGACTTCCCCAACACAACTTGTTGTTTACATCGATCTTGATTGGGCGGTTGCCGGACACACGCCGTTCCACCTCCGGCTATCTTTGTATTCCTCGGAGGCAGCCTTGTCTCTGGTCTTCTAAGCGGCAGCCCTTGTCTCTCGCTCTAGCGCCGAGGCCGAGTCCCGGGCTGTTGCTAACAGCGCGTCGCTGAAGCTTCTTGGCTGCGGCAGCTTCTCCAGAACTCCATCATCCTCTTGACAAGGCACGCCTCGTCTCTGCGACAATGTGAGCGCCGTCTACCTCTCCACCAACCACATGCAACATCAGCGCACCAAACATGTGGAGATCGACCTCCATTTCGTCCGGGAGCGTGTTGCTATTGGTGCTGTCCGTGTACTTCATGTACCCACTACTTCTCGGTTCTTGATGTCTTCACCAAGGGGCTGCCTACCTCAGTTTTTCAAGACTTTCGCTCCAGTCTGAATGTCCGCTGCTGCGACGTTCCGACTGCGGGGGGGTGTTAGATTACTGTGCTACTAATCCCTTTGGTCTTTGTGCTAGTCTTTTACTGCTATTTAAGTCAGCTGTACGCCACCCTATGTGGCTATGTGAACAGGCCCCTTGGGCCTCTATATATTGTAATCCCCTGTGTAAACATAATTAAGGATGCTAAGCCTATTGGCTTTACTGTCTATCACTAGGAACTAGCTTTTACAAACTGTTGTGTCAATTAATAGGCATGTAACAGACCTGGCAATGTCAAGAACAAACAATAAGGGTCTCCCTTTATTGGAGTATCTTTCACCCCAGTCCTCTTCCCAATTGCCCTGTCCTTTCCAGGTATCACAGTCTGCCTCAGAAGAACCTTCCCTTATATATCCGGAATGACTGAAAGCTGGTTTTGGTTGGGTTGGAGCTTCAGCAATATATGCTATCAAGGTCTCTTCTTGATTCCAAGAAATACCATGAAACCTGTAGCAACAAGAATAGTGCTGTACTGTCATGCCACTGTAGTTGTAGAAAGCAAAGGCAGAAGTAAATGCAACCACTACGATTTACTTTTTAGTTTTTCCTCACCATTCATCGGTATAAAGAGGACCATGCATAGACTTTACCACATGTACCTCCTTCTCCACATGTGATTGATAAACAATTTCAAGCTTAGTGGGGCAATCTTTCTCCCCGTTTCGCACTACAAGAAGCTTCGATCCCGAAGGGGATGGAACAATGACAGACACTCCAGTTATCTCAGTGGGGAAAGGAGACCACTGGAAATCCAGAGAGTTGGTACCAGCTCTTGTAATATGAGAATACAAAATGTATTTTCTGTTGCTGTTCGCCAGTAGGTCTGGCTGGCTAATGGAGAACATTGCTGTGGATATGTCTTCTGCAATAATAAATCAAGTACTCTTTAGAACTTAAGATAAAAGCCATTTTGATATGAATTCTGAGAGAAGTATATGATGATTATGGACAAAGGAAGTAAAGTGAAAAGACTGTCTATACCATTGTTGGTTTTGAGGATCAAAGCACTATCAATGCTTGGGACATTGGTAAACTCTTGCAGTAACTTGAATTGGGAGGCATATTCTTCAGATGTCATTGCATCCATTCTGAGTGGATTCTCTCCAGACATGCACACTTTTATATGGCCCACTGGAGGGACAAAATTTACTAGGCTAAGCTAAATCTGCAGTTTTACAAAGACATATGTTACACATGTTGCAGGATTGCAGCAAATTTTGCTGCCAATACATTAGGGCACATGATATGTATGGATAGCAGTTAAGCTCCATTAAGCACACTAATCAGTCTCACCTAAACTCTTGTTTGATTACAGCTTCCTATGCAAGTCGATTTTCAAGAGGTTTGAAGTATCAAGGTTCTGACTAATTTAATTTCAAAACAAATGCCAGTCTCACTTCTTCACGAATTCCATTAAAAACTTTGCATTTTCAATATACAAAATTCATGAAAAGATGAAACACTAAAGAATATAAGATGAAAATCATTGAGTGTAGGTGATAGTGCCTGGGTGAGACCAACTGGATACAACTTCCTGTACTGTCACCTGACCTCTCGAGTTCACGTACTGCATGAGTGCAAAAGTTACCTGAACTCGGAAGTCAAATAATTATACTTACTTAGGCTAAACTGATCGCAGTAGACATGAACTCATCTTGAACTAGAGTAAGCAGATGATTTGAGTTAAGCCAAGTACAGAAGGAAGCAACCATATAGCCATAAAATTGTCCATAACAACAAAACAATAAACATATACAAATTCATCGCGACCTTCGAGGGAGAGACAGAGCGAATGGAAATTGCTTACATAGAATTTTGCAGTGAAGTAGCAACACCATCGGAGTACTTGAGTCCAGCAGTTCCTCTGGAAAGAACCTCTCTATCGTAGGATTTGATCAGATGGCACCAAAATTTGTTATTTTTGTGCCAGATTGTCACCAAGGTCTTAAGATACTAGTTAAGAATACATCCAACAAGAAATCCCAAATGTCCAAATGGCCATGTGCCACAGCAGAGGAAGAAAGACACGAAGGGAATCGAACAAAAGGTAGCGTCAGATCTGTAATTGTCACTCCTAAAGAATGCACAAAATGACAAGATGAGCTCCCAACTTTTTCTTCTTGTCCTTTTCTTCACATTATTGGTGCCACTTTAGCTAATAAAATATCGTGTCAAACTTGAATATACCATTTTGTTAGAAACTAAAATCTGGAGGATTAACGAGTTAATGTCAAGGGAATACTGAATTACTGATTAGAGTTTGATTGCGACCTCAGAAATTTATATCTTGACGAGTAGATATGGACAGATGATTACACCATTCTCTATGAGTTTTTAGTATGAACAGCAGCGAGCTGGTTAGCTGGGCCATGTAATTCTTTTTCTCTTTACAATTCAAAAGCAACCACCTTTTCACATTAACACGTAAGCATCATTTATTAGAAGCATATTACCTAAATTACCTATAGTATGGTATTCCAGAATCCACACTAGAACAGACAAGATTTCCTGTCTTCAAGATTTTTTTTTTGGGGAATAGTCTTCAAGAATTATTCCATCTTGGCAACATCAGTTTGGACAGGCAAATCGTGCTATCGGATACTTTGACCCAGTTACAAGCATTCACTGACAATCAAAAGGTAAATCACAAATGTAATAAAGCACTAATGTTTATTTGCTCATGTGCTTCTTGAACCAAACCCCTATGTTGAGGAAGCTTTCGAAATCAGACTGAGGCCTGCACCAGGGATGGGGTGATTTAGTCAGACCACAGATGTTGTAACTTTTAAGACATCTGTGTGGTAGTCATGGAATAAAATTAAAATGGAAAAGTAACTAACTTGTCGATTCCATGGATATCTTCAGGGAAGATAATAGTTTTGGATTCGATTCCCCTCTCCTTCAAAGCCCTTGCATACTGCAAATATAGAGATAAGCACAAAGCAAAGCATATATACGGGGAAAAGAACGCCAAACAGAAGCACCATATACAACAAAATAACGAGAGAAAAAAAAGATCCCTCATTGTCAGATAGGAACCTGTGTGACCTAAACCAAAGTTTTATTCCTCTTAATGCAATGACAAAAAGTGCTCCAGTGTGTTTAGAAAAGAAAAACAATAAAAGAAATGCCACTGGTAAATATTTTGACAGCTGAAAATATGAAAGAGGCCTCCTTTTGCCCATAAATAAGTGGAGAAGCATAAAGAAACACCTGCAGGCCATTAGAAACAGGAACTCTGAGATCTTGCGCTCCAAGGAGAAAGAGTGTTGGTGTCTTGACCTGCAGATTGATAGATTCATCAAGCAAAGGGCTATTCATAGCATCCACAGAGTATCTTCCGTTTGCACGTGCAAACTCTACTCTCTCAAGCATAGATATCAGAAACTGCTCTTGTACGAAAATGCAAAATCCACACATGTACCTTTGAAATATGTGAAATTGGTGACTTCTGGTGGAATTGACAAAGATCGTCTACTGAAGGAGACTCTGAGAAGTACTTTTTCCCTTCTTTTCCATAAATCTCGACAAAGCACCAATCAGGGATGTCACTGGTACCCACCATCAATGATAAGTTACATACTGGGTTTCGAGCAGCTGCTGCAACAAATGTGTCTGGAGCCTGCAGTCAATCAAATATGTACAGGTCAATGATGTGTTATAGACTTATAGTGCAGAAACTTGATAAATAAATCATCTCATGTGATGTACATCTAATTGTCTATGCCCTTCAGGTCTTCATATCCTGCAGCGGAATATGAACTTGGACAAAAGAAGATTCTAAGCAACCATTGGAAGCAGTACAATTTTCGGCTTTTGGGGCCAGGAAACAAATCATGCAAGCATCAAAACTCAGCTCCTAAAGATTCAGTAAGTCATGTGTGGATATCGATAGGCAAACTTTATGCTCATGACTTCATGAGACAGCAAAACCATATCAAACTCATGGTCATGGAAAGCAGTAGCTTCAAGATCTAGTTTTCTGAATACTAGCATACATCAGAGTATTTCTCTAGGACATATGCCCAAACTTAGCATTTTACAGCCAGGTATCCCCAACCTATCAACCCATCCTGCAGCATGGCATAGAATTTGTGTTACATAGGTATCAAAAGTTTTGTGAATAAATTTAGGACATACAACAAATCAAAATTGATTATCTTTACATTTTTTTTGGTCTATTCAATTCCAGACACAATACCAATTCTATAGTCTTATCTGGTTGTGATAAATTTACCAGTTACCTATATGTGTTTTCATTCTTTGCATTGCACCTATATGGGTTTTAATATGTATTTAGTTGAAACCTTAGCTCAAGCTATATCAGCTCTTGTCACATCCCTTTTTGTGACATATCTATATTTTATCTTTCAATTTTTTTTTCTTATTAATTGTTGCAACTTTTTATCCACATTTTAAGTTCAAACTCCCGTTATTAACAAATGGATTCAAGGTCCTAGGCTCCACTGATTTTTTTTGACATAAATGCTAGTTATTAACAAATGTATTTAGTTGAAATCTTAGCTTAAGTTATAACTTAAGGTCCTAGGCTCCAATGTTAAATACTATAATGGCATAAATAATTGTTTCAACCTACAACACAGCACTCAAGATGTTGAATTTCCTCTTATTAAAAACTATATGTGTAGTAGTACAATTAAAGTGCTTACAATTAAACTATTAGTATTGATATGTCATAATGAATAGGTCAAAATGTATAAACTTATCTAAAGTAACAACTTACAATTACAAAACTTGGCATTTATGCTTACTTTTAATTCACGATTGACAAACGTATGCATGTGTACTTGGTCTACATGGAGGCACATAGCGTTTATGCTTACTTTTAGTTCAATAGTGGTAGGAGTGTGTAATTTATAAACATATATAGTGGACAATATGGTTATTGAGCTATTTTCCATAATAGCTTATATTAGTATTTAGACATAATTTGAGGGAGGTTTTAGTTCATTTTTTATAACGGCAATGGTAGGTAATTTAGTTATAAATTAAAATGGCTACTTTATATTATCTTTCAGAACAGCAAATCTGGGTAATTTCCCCTCAAAAAAATCTGGGTAATCTAAAAGCAAATTTAGGGGTTACCTTGCGTTATCTTCTATATAATGGAAAAAGTGGATAATTTAGTAATTTAGATTAGATGCAAATTTAGGGGCTTATTTTCAATTATCATTCATAATGCCAGAAGTGGTTGATTCAAATGCAAATTTAGGGTGTTACTTTATGTATTTTAATAATGGCAGAGGTGGGTAATTTTAGGAAATGGAATAGATCCAATGGCTATTATTAGCGGTGATGATTAGAGTCTACCAAATTAAATTAAAGGCCAGATGTTTCTAATTATTGGGAGAATTTATGGGATTTATCTTTTTTCATAGCACATTTGGTGAGAATTAATGTTACGTAAAGTAATTTAACCTGGTACCATACTAATTTGATTTTTCAAGTACAGAAGTCACTGATAGAGTTGCAGTAATTTAGTTAAATGATGATTGTTCGAGATGGCCACCTTCGCCACCATGGAACCCCTCTTTAGTTAGTTACAAATACCTTGGACTTCACTGTTAGTCAAGAACCTCTCTAAGGCAGATTTCTATGTTATAATCGAGAAGATAGCATAGCTGATAAATTACCTGGCTGGAAAGCAGCAACGATGAACTCGGCTGGGAGAGCAGCTCTTGTCCGAGCTGTACTTGGTGCTATATCTATTTATCAACTCATTGCTTTGGACTTTCCTAAGTAGGCAATCAAAGCAATTGATAAGATAAGAAGGGCTTTTTTATGGAAAGGTCGCAAGGAGATGAATGGTGGCCATCCTAATTCAGCCAAGAGACCTATTGATCTTGGGGGGTTTAGGAATACTTGATTTGGAAGTCCTGGGTTGGGCCGTAAGAATGAGGTGGTTAACATGTTATGGCTAAAAAAGACCCAGCCTGGTCGGCTTGGGCTGGTCTTGACATGCAAGTCCATCCTAGTTCGGTGGCCATGCTGTGGTGTATGGCGGGAGCCAAAGGGCTCCGTAGCTTATGGCCACGACTGATTCGTTGGTTTTTTGGTCGTTTCTTGGTTTGTTTTCAGTGATTTCTGTCGTACTGGTCATTACCTTTTAGGGGGTTGTATGAGTCACTACTCACTAGACTTCAGTTTTCTTCTTAATATAATGATACACAGCTCTGGTGCATATTGAAAAAAAACCTGCTCGCAAAATTATGTGTAATAATACTTTAAAATAATAATGTTCAAAGTCCAAAGGCTAATAATAATCTTGATTAAAAATATGAACTCTAAATAAAAGAGTGACTGCATACTCAAAGAATACAAAATAACAAGGTCGATTAGAGAACCTGGCCGATCAAATGAGTGGTCAAGAAACCTCCATGTGAACCTCCAACTACGGCGACTCTAGATGGATCTATTAGTCCTCTCTTTATAACAAGGTCCAATGCCGTCAATACATCATTGACATCCTGCTTGTAAGTGTGCACAGAACGACATGGTTCATGATAAATTTCGGCATTTGCAAGAATGATCTTTAAACATGGAAATAAACTAATGACAATGCACCTGAGAACCAATATTGCCAGGAAGGGATTGTAGTGCTTCTTCCCCAAAGCCTAACGAACCCCTGAGGAACCGAAAGATGCACATGCATGTTAGTGTCAGAAAGGGTGTATGTTCCATACAAATATTAAATCAAAACCCAGAAAATAGATAATGATCAAATTATACAACAGCTAGAACAGACAAACTACAAGCAAGATAAATTCACCTGTAGTTGACAACAAGAAGATTATATCCCTGCGAAAAAAGAAAAGCCAAGGATTTGGAATAACTTGTTGGGTAAACTGAGTGTGGTCCACCATGAAGAACAACAATTGTTGGATTACTTGCAGAATCCTTATGCGATACAAAAATAGCCTCAAAAGGAAGCTTAGCCCCTGAGTAGGTACAAAAAAATATGGAGAAAGAAACCTGTTCAGTAAAAATTCTGCAGAAAATCTTAGAATAATTGGTGAAGATGTATCAAAGCTATTCAATAATAGTCATAGAGTTATCATAAAATACATTTAAAAAATAGCCAGCACAACCAAGCAGAGTAGGGCAGTGCACTTAATGATATCATTAGCTATAAGAGCTGTCTTGTTTCTCTGATAATCCTGGTCGCTTGGGAGATTTGGAAACACAGGAATGATTGTGTGTTTGAAAAGGCCAGGCCGAACACTCAGGAGGTTCTTAGGGCTATAAACACTGAGGGCCGCCTATGGTGCATGGCTGGGGCTTCCAAGCTCCAAGAGCTAGTGCTCTCTGTTTGGTCACCTCTTCCCCATTCTGGCGCAGCCTGTGTATAATGGCTGCTGATGTGTTGGTGTGTGTTTTGTCAGCCTAAGTATAATGGCTGCTGATGTGTTGGTGTGTGTTTTGTAACTGGGTATGGGCTACCCAAACCCGTTTTTTCTACCTTAATGAAATGACGCGCAGCTCTCCTGCGTAGTTCGAGAAAAATAAGAGCTGTCTTGTATAAATCAATTTTGGACATGCCTGCCTTGATTTGGGTACAAAAGATACATTTCATCGCAACTCACTATATTCTACCCTCCGCTGATTTCTATAGGTGCCTTTGACTTGTGCGATCTCCAAAGTTGAATTTTGACAGTGAATTTCTTTTACTATTTTTTTTTTGTCAATGAATACAGAAACAAAACCATGTAAAAAATACTTTCTAACAAGAATCCAACAGCACCACTTTTATGTAACTAAACATATGCATTGTTGACCAAATTGTAGATCAAATATATAATTATAAATATAGAAATGTTTGGGTGCCTCACAAAAATCTGCAGAGCGAGTACTCGCTTACAAGGGTGGCAATGTACTAGTTTCAAGAAAAGTAGCAGAGCCTAGTGAAGAATGCAGAAATAGTTCATAAAGGAAGAAACTAACAACTTCAGAAAGAAAAATCTAATTAGAAAATCGATGCTGCTAATATTAATCTGCAGAAGGAATAAGTATGCTTGAGTTGTTCTCATACCATTTGCAAGTTTGTCGGAAGGGTTGCTAATTGGGATTTTGAGTATGCTGAACTTATGTTCTGCTAATATGGAGCTGATCTGTCAAAATACACCCACAATTTATTAGCTACACACTCTACACTTTTTTCCCGACTACAATTAACATTCAGTGTTTCATTTTAACAAAACCTTATCAGATGGCTTTGGAAAAGGAGTTGAAACTTCCTGCCACTCCCAATTGCTTTCAGTCTGAGGAACCTTAATCGCATAGTACATCTGAGGGAGTGTAATAAGGCTGCTGGAAACTGGAAAAGATGGAAAATGCAGACAAACATGGAACGTTATCTACGAAGTGACAGAATTATGTAATTATTCAGTAATTCTATATGAGCATGGGGTTACCTGCAAGAATGTTGTTCTTATCAACTGCAAGAACATTCCATGAATAATCTGAATCCTGGGGACTAACTCTTGAAACTTCACAGCTAACAAAAGAATAATTTAAATTTAAATAACAAGTGACACTACGTATATCAGTCTATCAGAGGACAAACAGATGTTTGGAATCACCTCACAACATTTACAGAAAGTATTACTTCCCTACTTCCCCAAACAGAAGATATAATCATAGTTTGTCCATCAGTAAGCCATGGATCCCTAAGCAAGCCAAAACAGTACAGCCCAGGGAAACAGTTATCTTTGGGGCACATCACAACGGGCACCTACATAATAGACAAGTATTAACAATATGATATCAGCCAATCTATCTATCCAAGGAAGTGCCCATAATAGAACCAAAGCATTATCTAAACACTTTCTTTACTCTCTAGTGAAAGTTTTAGAAGATGTTGAATTCAGACACTTTAATGACCCCAATACAAGTCTTCATCTAGCACTGCTTACTGAAAAAGTGATATGATGCATCTGTGCAAATGTATATCTTGATATCAACTTTGTTAAAAGAAAAAAAAAGAGGGGGGTCCATACCACGTCAGCAATTGCAAGGCTCCCATCCAATTTTCCATCTGCAGGCCATTCGATTCTATGCATTGAATTTGTGGCATTGTGTGCCCCACTATCTACAGCACTCTTCGCTGAAATGAACACAAGATACTTCCCATCCGGACTATAAATAAAAGTTTCCATTATTTCATGTTGCAATGTAGTGTTAATGTGCATGCATCAAAAACTAAATTAAAAGACACAGTTCCTTTTGGTATGTACAATAAACTTAGGTCATAGAGAAAGATTGTGAGATTCACATCTACTGCTTCCAGAGTTCTTGCAAAAGAGGGAAGTGATAAGCCTTTTAATTTCCAGATTAAACCAAACAGGTAGGTTGACTTCTAACAGTGTCAGTTATGGATTTTTTTACAACACAGAAAACTATACCTGACAATATGAACAGTCAATCAGTTTGTGACATAGACGAACCCATAGGATTATCAATTCAAACCAGTAACCATGACAGATGACAGTCTAGACAATCCTAATACAAAATGGTAATCATAATTTAATGGATAAAAACAAAATGGCATAGATGTTGCTTCCAGTATATCCAGTTGAAATGATTAACCAAAGCTGAATAGTATGAAGTATTCCTACCTGAACCGTGGGAAAAAGGCACTGATCAGGTCTGCTGTTAATTTGATCATAGTTGTAGTTTCATCCTTTTTGCCCCTATGCCAATATTTGAAACATGACATCAGAAAATAAAACATATGACTTACTATACCTTACAAGACAATTTTTTTGTACCATATGTTCAGCATTTTCACTTTATGATTTGGATTAATGAAGAAAAAACATGTATATTGTCCATTTTTATTAAATATGTTTCATAATTATCTTGAGGTTAGACTGATATTCTTACTCAGTTGATGATTTCTCAGCTTCTTCTCTGAAAGGATCAGGAGCAGCATACAGAGCACAAGGTCTGTTGTAGCAGTATTTAATACCAAGCTTCCTTGGCGTCTCTTGGAAACCATTGTCAGATGACCATGCAACAAAAACCAAGCTATATGAAGAAGACGGAGCCCAAATCACTTGGCCAACACTTAATGATCTAGGTATTTGCTTGACAGGTCGAACTTCGCCGCTGCAAGAATACATTATATTCCTCATAAAAACACGATATTTATAAACTCTCTTCAGGGTGGCTATAAACATACCTGGATATGTTGACGACAAACAGTGCAGGAATCCTTTTCTTGGAATATGTTTCTCCCCAGGTCTCCTCCCAATCCCCTTGTCCCTTCCAGCTCTTGCAGTCCTTTTCGGATGAGCCTTCCTTCTTGAATCCATAATCATTAAACACTGGCTTTGGTTGAGGAGGCTCCTCGGCAACATAAGCTATGAAAGTCTCTTCCTGGTTCCATGATATCCCTCCAAACCTGCATCAAAGCAGCATTTTAGCGCAAGGCAAAGTTGCAATGGTAAATCACTCTCTCCCTCTTCCAAAAGAAGAAAACAAAAGGATTGGGGAATTTACCATTCATCAGTATAGAGTGATCCATGAACAGATTTTGCAATATGTATCTCGTTCTCTAATTGACATGGGCCCCAAATCTCTAGTTTTGTAGGGGAATCATCCTCAGAATTGCGTACTAGAAGAAGTTTTTCTCCAGATGGTGATGGAATTACTGCTGACACTCCACTTATTTCAGTCGGGAAGGGGGACCACTTGAAATCGACAGACTTTGATGGACTCTTTGAAATGTGAGAATTCAGAAGGAATTGTCTCCTCTTGTTGGCCAAAAGATCTGTTTGGCCAATCGAAACCACTGCTTTGGACATGTCGTCTGCAGACCCCCAAACAACAATAAGAAACCTAAATTTCATGAAAGAAAAAACAAAAGAGTAGCAACAAACGTGCATACCATCCTTGGAATTGAAGATCCAAGCCTTGCCAATAGTTGGGATTTTAACAAATTCTTGCAGCAACTTTGACTGGGAGACATACTCATCAACCATGGTCGCATCCACTGCCAGAGGTAATCCTTTGTCAGCCGCTGCTTCTGAGGCTTGTGTGGTAGCCATAGCAATTGAGCGCAATGAAACCTTGCTAGTCCTGTGTAGTCAAAGGGATTAGATCAGCATCACCCACATGACAAAACTGAACCTAGCAATCCAGATAAGACAAGCAGGGCTTCAAATGCAAGATTTTTCCATGACTACTCAAATATTGTATTGTTTACATAACAAGGCAGGCAAGCATCGTAATCTAACCCCCAACTCTAAGAATATGTCATCGGAGAGATGAGAAAAGAAGAGGAGGAGGAGAAGAAGAAGTAGAAGTTTTTTCAGAGAACTGACCTGCGCCGCAGCAGTGGCCCGCCGGGTAGAGCTCGAACCCGAGAAGTAGAGGCCGGGAGGAGTAAATTCGCCGCCGGGCAGCGGAATTTGGCGCAGGTGACCAACAGTCTGACCAGAACCACCATTAGATGGCAGGGTTGGATATCGGTCTGGCTGGCTCGGCTCTGGCTGGCTCGTTGTTACTCGGCTCTATTATATCTTCAAACGAGCTAAAATGTCTAGCTCGGCTCGGCTTATAGCTCGAGCCAGGCCATCATCCCTCGGCGTCTGCAGTCTCCTCCGGCTGCAGCCTCTCTTTTTTTCGCACGTCCGTGTTCCAGCCGAGCATAGATTAGCTAAATTTACAGGTACTCTTTAAAATAGATTTGATAAAAAAATACTAGAGTACTCCAACAGACTTTGTAAAACCAAAAAACTAGATAACTAGTGAGATAGGCTATCCAAAAGTAGAGAGCGAACGAGACCAAACAAGAGCCGAGCAGAGCAGACCAGGGGCTAAAGATGGGGTCAGCCTCGATCCCTTCCACCCGCCTTAGTCACACGGCACTCGCAAGACGCACGACATCTCCCCGTCACGATCCCCGGAGGGAATAGGGGGAGGTCCAGCGCAGCTAGGCGCGCCTGCTCTGACAAGAGCAAGCATGTCGCACTGACCCTACAAGGACCGAGGGAATAACAGTCACTTCGGCCCGATCAGACATCATCCATGTGCCATACCGTACCGACGAGACAACACCGCACCGCGGTGGCAACGTGTACGACACCCACCGTCCAAATACGGACCGACTAGACGACTTGTACGATCCCATCCAATACAGGATGGGGATCCACGATAAAGGGCTCGGCGAAAAGGCCATCCAGACCTACAGAGCGCCCCGACCCCGGCGATCGGGGTCGTGGCCCTCGTCCCCGCGAAGCGACCAAGCGAACAACGACCCAGGGTAGCTACCTACTTCGGGTACGATGCCCTTAGGAACCAGGAGATAATGACGAAGACCACGACGGACACCGCGTTGCACAGGACGGCGGATGAACCACCATCGAGACTACAGTGCCGTCATGGACGCCACAGTAGCGCCACGTCACATCATGCCGCAACGTGACCAGAAGACCATGACGATAGCCACGACCGGACGTGCACCTGAAGACGGCGTAGCTTGCAAGCCAAGTTAGCTAGGTCCTTCCTCAGGCTCTCGGCCCTTCGGTCGGGAGAACCTCCTCTTTTATACAAGCCCTGGCCCCAAACTCTATATAAGGGCAGTCAGGGCACCTATCTCGGGGACGTTTTTTCACATCCTCTGCCATTCCATTCATTCACGATTGTAGTTGGGCTCCTGGAGCTTCTCTTCGGGCAGCTCTTCGTCTAGCATAGGTCATTCCATCTCTTTCACCTTTCTTGCCCCCCATTATAAGAACTTCAGAGCATTCAAGTGAGGAACACGCACTCGATCAACTCTGAAACTGAACATAGGGCTCCGGCCTCAACCAGTATAAATCTTCGTGTCCATTAGATGTTACCATTGTCTTCCTAGAGCAACGCGGTAATCGTATAAATTTACTAGTCTGGTTTACAAAACACCAACATATTTTTAGCTAAATTTACCTTTAGAAAATGATTTGACTAATCTCTCGAAGATGCTCTAAGGATGAAAACGAACGAACAAAAAATGCCTCTACCATTTCTGTTTTTATATTTTTTTTAACGAAACATAAACGTGGAGCGAAAACGGTAGTGGGATAAACGATAATAAAAAATGGGTAAATATGATCGGAAAATATACGGAAACGAACGGTAAGAGAGAACTTAAGCCGAAATTGATGCCATATATTACTGCTAAATACATAAGCCAAAGTGAATAAGTAAATAGATATTACACCTCACCAATCACTAGTGAGTCACAGGCGTCAAATAAGTCCACGCATACAACATTAGGAATCTAAGACAGCGACTAGAGGTGCGTTAGGGACCGTTTATATAAGAATCGTTTATAATCTAATCAATATAAGTTGCAGTCTAAAAAGTCTATAGAAAAAATATATAGAGATGTTTGGCAATCTTAATTATATACGAAGGGTGTAAAAGGTGCCCCTGGCTTCCTCGACCATGGTCTGTTCGGTTGGCTGGTTCGTATTGTTGTTGGTTCGTGAAGAAGTACCGTTGGCTGGTTTGTGTGAGAAAAAAACATTGTTTCGTCTGGAAATTTACGATCGTTTACGACAAGCCACAGCCAAACGAACAGGCTAATGCATGTTCCGCAGGAGCGTCCGCTATTCCTCGAGCGAACCATCGGAGTCAGAGGGAAAGCATCTTCGTGCCCGCCTGCTACCGAGCGGGTTGCTCGGCCATGGGGACTTGAGGCGCCGCCGGGGAGCAGTGCCCGCCTGCGAGCGAGCGGGTTCCTCGGCAATGGGTACCTGCCTCGGCCATCTGAGGCGCCGCCGAAGAGCAGATGCGGAAGCGGACCTGAGGCGCCACCGGGGAGCAGTGCCCGCCTGCGAGCGAGTGGGTTCCTCGGCCATGGGCACCTCCCTCGGTTGTGGAGGCGCTAAGCTTGCGACGACGCAGCCAACTTTGCACATGCGCTCCGTGACATGACAACTCGCAGCAGCACATAGCTCTTTTTTTTGGAGCGGCACATAGCTATGTGTAGTCATACTTTGGGACCATGGGCCTCCATGGAGCAGCAGCAGAAAACAGGCAAAAGAAATTGAAACTTTGGGATGGACTTATCCCGGCTAAATTATAAACGTGATGAAAGCAGGATCATCCGGTCAAAAACGGGATATCAGAAATATGAACGGACAAACCTTCAATCGGCAAGTGCACCTTGTGATTGATTCTTATGGCACCCAAGTTGTAGGTTTAGCATGTCACGCTAGTTATTAGCGTACGAATCATTACTTGGGGATTCACCACAACATGGACGTAGGCTGCCAGCAAATAACCGAATCACGAGGTTAAATCATTAGGGTGATCTCTTGTTATCGGTGGTTTGCTTCCACTTACACTTGTATTTATATTCAAATTTTTGTGCTTGTGTGGTAGTTGCTTGGTAGAGTAGCTCTATGGAGTAGCTAGTTCTAGTTGTTCTTGTTAGCAGTAACTAGCTATTAGTTGTTCTCTAGTGTAGTTTTCTAGTGTAGTTAGTTGCTAGCAGTACTTTGGTGTTGTGATATAGGCTCCGTCATTTGATGCGAAACTTGCATTTTGAAACCCGGTTGGTTGTTGTGAGAGAAAGCTTATTTCGATTGGTTTGATGAACGAAGAAATTGAGAGGAGAGAAGCGGTTATCGGGTGGCTGGTCTTTCAGCATCAATGAACGGCCCCATAGATTAGAAACCCATTGCTACTAAAAAAATGTGTAGGGGCTTGTTTGGGTGAAGTAGAACTAGAGCTTATCTAAAAAAAAGAAGCCAAAACACTATTCCGACTGATTTGTTGTGAGAGAAAAATACTGTTTCGGTTAAAAAAGGAAGCCGAACAAGTCGGATTTTAAGACAAACGAACAGGGCCTATAGTTGCTGTCAGGGTCATTTGATATACTAATCATCTTTGCTCTAGTGGGACACTCATTGTGGTGCTGCTGCCTTTCTTCGCCATCTTCCTCGTCTCCACCGTCGTGCTTGTGAGATGGACACAGACCTCCACGACTCCACGTCGGCCATTTCTACGGCGAGATGGACATCGACTTATGGAACGCAGAAACCTGGCGCGTCATGATCGACGGGTCCGGGGTGCTCGTCATGACGCCACAGACCCCCCTGACAATCTTTGTCACATCATCTTCAGGCTCAGGGACATCCCGCTCCTCATCTTCGACGAGGGCCACCACGCCACCGGGTATTCCCTATACGCTTGTATTTTTAAGGTCATCTGAAAGTTGGAACCAATCCTCTTGTCTGTTAGCATGCACGTTTATCATGTACTCCCTTCATTTTAAATTATAAATTATTTTAACTTTTTAATACATCCATTTTACGAATAGTTTCCAAATCGTAATTCGGTTACAAACTTTAATGCTACGTTTGCCACCTGTATCAATTCAGGAGGTCCTATGTTTGTACGTGTCCTGTGGTCTGTGGGATCAATCATGATTGCTCTTTTTTTTTACACATTTATGTTTCAGTTAAGAGTCTTGGATGCTTTTTTTTTTTACAAAAAAAGAGTCTCGGGTGTTCTTGCCTTCTTTTCTCATGTATATCCAATATAATCCAGTGAATCAGGCCTTTAGGTGTAATTAGTGAACAACAAAGTATTTTACGATCAATCTATATATAAACAGTCTCTCAAACTTGAGAAGTATTATACGTGTTTTTTATTATAAACTTTCAATTTCAAAGTTATTTTAATTAAATGACTTTTAACTTTTTCATTCACAATCATAACTTTACATTTTTTTTACAGGTCAGTACATAACAGCTTTTTCTGCAACTCAAAGACCAACCAAATACATCTTCGGTAAAGCTGCTTATAGGTCACCCGTCCATCCAAAGGTACCCTTATAAGTCGCTCGCTCGCTTGCTTGTCGCGTCGCCTCGTGTCGTGCTTCGCTTTTGTCAACAAGCTGCAAGGCGCTTTTGTTCCGGACGAACCCCCCTTTTGACCATTTGCCTCGCTCGTGCCTGTGCCGCACGCGCCGCGCCTCCCTCCCTCCCCCCCCCCTTTGCTCAGATGCCCCACTCGGACTCGCGCCTCCCATCGCAGTCGCGCTCCATCCACCTGCCCCTACCGAGGTCCGTGCCGCCGTCGAGCTCCACACCGGCGACCTCCGCAGCATCGAGTTTCGTGCCAACGTCGAGCTCCGTGTCGATAAGCCTCCATTTGTCCAAGTAGCAAGCAGATGCTACTCTGAAAGTGCATGTTGCAATAGTATGTTTGAAGTGTTTCAGAGGTATGTTGCAAGTATCGTATATCAGTGTTGCAAAAGTAGATCTGGATGTTGCACATGTTGTAATAGCTATATACGTATGATTCAAGTGTATATTCTAAATGTTTTATCGATTCTAAACGAATGTTGCAAGTTTTATCTAGATGTTGCAAAATTAGATCTAGATGTTATATATACATGCATGTTGCAAGCATATGTGTTTCATATATATATATTTACGAGTGTTTTATCTGGATGTTGTATATGTTTATAATAGTTTTCAAATATTTTTCAGACGCTTATTTTAAGTGCTCTAGACGTTTGTTTTAAGTATTTTAATTTTATTTGCTTTTTTTTTTGTATATTGTAACTGTTTTGGATGTTATAAAAATAGATGGAAGACACACGTGGGAAACTGACGGTTCGGAGGACACACGGACGGACGTCCGGGCGCTGGCAAGCGCGATGCATCTTTAGCGCGGGCAACCCGTAAGCAGCGGCGCGCCGCTCTGCTCTCGCCCACATAGCCGTGCTCCCGGCCAGTCGGGCGTGAGAGTTTAGGGTTTCGTCGATTCGTGTCCGGCCTCCTCCCATGTCCTCTTTACCGTCGCCGTGCGTGGTCCGGTCTGGCGCTCCGAGTCCCCGCCGAGGGTAGGTCGATTGGGGTCCCTGGGTCTCTCCGCCCGCGGGGTACGGCGCGGTGCGGAGCTTTCGTCCAGCCCTTTTTTTTTCTTTTCTAATGCGGTTCACAGGCGCGTTCCTGCAGCTTGGTGGTAGACTGCGGTGCTGTTGGGGCGGTGATGTCATCATATCGCAGATTTGGTGAGTGAGATCCTGGTGGTCAGCGCCTTGCGTGTGCTGTGATACTCGAGAAATGTTGCATTGCTTTGCTTGCTTCCGGAATTCAGAGTCTGGTGCGTGTCCAAATTTGGTTCGTTGAGGCATTGGCCCCATGTTGGTACGGGTGGGGTTGGGGAGCATTTGGTTATGGTATAGCAGAGTAAAGCCGTAAATCATGCCGATTGCACTTGAAATACACATGGCTTGGGATTTGGGAACCACTGTTATCGCAAATTTGGAAGTGTTCGTAAGAAGCAGTTCTGTCTCTTGCTATTGCTAGGGATGTTGTTGTCGGTTTAGTACATTGTTGTGGGGAATTTTGGGCAATGGCAAAAACAGGAAGTGGGATGGTGATAACTTATTTACTCAAACCATAGTTTACAAAGTACCTCAGAGGAGTATTCCTTGGGTTTAGCTTTGGAAGTGTTTCACTGACGAAATATTAATGCAGTCCTCGGTTTTGTTTACTCTATGTAAGCACAGCATCGTAAATTTTGATCCAATTCTGGAATGCCTGTGAATGATCCTCAAATTTGTTTATAGAATTCTTGCTTTGTCTAAAGCACATAAAATTTGTACCTCAATTGTCATTCAGCTTCGGGGATTAGGTAAATGAATAACTGAATCAGTGTTAGTTGTGATGTTGGAATCCATTAACGATTGGAAAAAATTAAATAGACTGGATTAAGTTTAGGAAGATCAATATTTCCCTGCAATAGTCTTAGTCATCTTAGTGGTACCATTCAGTTGTGGTGCAGCTGAGCCAACCTGTAAATCATGCCAATTGCTTTTATGCTTCAAAGAAAAGGCTTGACAGCCACAGTTAACAATATTTTGTCAGCAGTGGATGGATTTTGAGTGTCGGCCAACATTTCTGTTGATTTAGCAGCTCAATGGGCTGCTTGTGCTGGGGACTGGGGAGGCCATTCTTGGTTTAGTACATTTATACAGGGATTTTTTCTGTGAGTTCAGGTTTGTGCTAGACTATATAATGGCAAAAATAGGTAAGTGTGGCATGGTGGAATAGCCAGTCAACTTTAGTATTGAAGCCAGACAAACAGTAAATGGTGACAACTTATTTTCGTAAGCTATTGATTGTAACTGTGGGAAGTACTAGCACACTATTGAGCATCACTGTGGGATGCATTCCTTATAAGTGCACAGTTGGTAAGACAGCCGTGGGTGTTTTGCTAAGAAGAAGACCTTCTCATGCAGGTTGAGAAAACCCCCGAACCCCTGCCCCACCCATACATAGCGGCACCGTAGCCCATATGAGAACGGCCACGACTTGGGCCGGACTTTAGACCTATGCTTTGGTGTGGGACAGACGAGGGGATTTTTTTTAACTCAGCCTAAAATTCGCTCCCACTAGGAGTCGAATCCAGAACCTGAGGAGTGCTACTAGAGCCACCTAACCAACCTAGCTAGAGGCCCGTTCATCCCACCTACATAAGTAATGGGGAACTACTGAATTTTGCACCTTAGGAGCATGCCATTAGTAATATTGGTCAGAACTCTATTCTGCATTGATCCTCATATTTGTTTATGGAAGTGTTGCTCTGTCCAAATGCACATTAAAATTGTTGTTCATTCGCCATCCAACTTTGGTGATTAGGTAAATGAATCAGTGTTAGTTGTGATGTTGGGGTCCATGAAAGATTGGACAAAATTAAATAGATTGGTCCTATGCATATTCTCCTAGCTTATTTAGAAACTTGTAATTGTGCAACACGTGGATGGGATGCTTATTCAGTATTATTTTGTCTTGGTGGGAAAGGAAATGCCTATGCTGTACTGGTGTTGTATTGGTTT